CATCTGAATTTGGTTATACCCCGAGTAGGCATCGAGAAAGGTGAGGGTCTCATGGCCGTCCGTAGCATCGATCAGACGATCGATGTTAGGCAATAGGAAAGAATCCTTGGGGCACTCCTTACTTAAATCTTTATAATCTATACACATTCTTAACTTATTTCCCTTTTTGGGCACTACCACTACGTTGGCCAACCATTCGGGATACTTTAACTCTCTGATAGACCCTATTTTAAGGAGTTTCGTTACCTCGTCCTTGATGAATGCGTGTTTTACTTCGGACTGAGGTCTTCTTTTTTTCTTCACCGGTTTAAACCTGGGGTCGACACTCAATCGGTGGGTGGTTATTTCCGGCGGGATTCCTATCATATCTAAATAGTACCAAGCAAAACAGTCGATGTAGTTAATAAGGAATTGAATGAGTTTTTTCCTGAGTTCGGGGGTTAATCCCGTTCCCAGGTCTACCTTCCAGTCCGGAAGATGCTCAATCAAAACAACTTGCTCCAGTTCTTCAATTGTCGATTTCGTTGCATCCGACACTTCGGGGGAAACGAAATTTTGAGGCGCAAGGAAATCTTCTTCATCGTCCTCGGGGGTCTGTATGATCCTAGACTCGTCCGAGGTGGCGTGTATGGGGCTTGGTGCATCGTGGTAAACTGCGAAGATTTATTTTGGGGGATGTTGTTCTCCGTATATAGTTGTTATTCTATCTTTTGTTGGAAATTTTATCATTTGGTGCAGAGTTGACGGCACCGCCCTCATGTTGTGTATCCATGGCCTGCCAAGCAATGCGTTGTACCTCATGTCACCAATGATAACTTGGAACTTAGTATTCTGGACTGTACCGGACATGTCTACCGGGAGGACGATCTCTCATTTCGTTATATCGCCGGCCATGTTGAAGCCATGGAGGACCCGGGAGGCAGGTACGATTTGATCGAGCAACCCAAGTTGTTCTACTACCTTTGACCTGATTACGTTGGCCGAGTTGCCTGGATCCACGAGCACACGTGTAATTTGAATGTTGCTTAAAAGGAATGAAATTACCAGTGTGTTGTTATGTGGTTCTGCCAAGGTCTCGAGATCCTCCTCGCTGAATGTGATGGCATCTTCGGTCATGTGGTCTCGGATCAGCCCCTCGATTTCAGCGGATATTTTTATCCGTTTGATCACGGGTCCTTGGGGAATGTCGGTTCCCTCAATAATCATATGAACGACATGCCGAGGAATTTCTCTTTTTGCCCAGGTTGGATGTTTCCGAGTTCCCCGCTGAGTTTCTCGGCACGCTCCCTTGTTAATGTGAGGACCGGCGCTAACGCCTTGGGCGTCGCACGAGGTCGTACCCTTGGGAATCGGCTCTGGTGTGTTCTCAAGGTTTCATGGTGGCATACCCATACCTGGAGTAACTGTACCGCCTTTCCCATAGTTTTTGAGGCTGTTGTTTTCGGGCACACTTAGTGGTTTAAGCATTTTGACCTGAAATCAAAGATCTTGGACAAGAAAAAGTGTGAAAGATAACTTTCGTCGTGTAGTAAAACTAGCAAGAAAATAATCACTATTATTTTTAGCTACACGGTGGGCGCCAAACTGTTTACCGTGAAAATGGTAATGACAATTAAATTTGATTTAGTGGTTCTAAAAATATGTGATCTATTTTTAAGCTAGTTGTTGGGTAGTTGATTCTACGTGAAAGACTAAAAAACAAGATAAGAGCTTAGAAACGAGGTGTTAATTGAACCGAATCGCTGCCAATCGGGGCCCGAGCTTGCCTATTCGAGGGCCTCGGTATCGAGTCTGAAGCCCGGCTGGGAGCTATCGAAGGTGGTCGATGGATACTAACAGTTATAAATAAATCAAAGACGGCTCTTTATGGCCAATAATAAGCAATAAATGATGAACAATAAATAGAACACAATAAATATGAGCAATAAATGAGATAACGAGACCAAAAGAATTTGTTATAGAGCAGAGAGAATGTTCTAGTATATTTAGTATGGAGCAACAGATGATTACAAAATGAAAAGGATCCTCTTTATATAAGAGGGGGAATCCCAACATAGTACAACTACAAAGATATGGGGATGGGACAGCTAGTTGACACCATGATTCGGGTCTGAACTTAGCTCACTAGGCTTTATCAGCCCTAGTTGCGCGCCTTGGAAACTCCCTACTTTTCCATAATAGCCGTTGGTCTGCTTCGCCCCAAGGTTGAGCGTCGATATCCTTTGAGGGTGAACCCCGACCCTAGTCTCGAACCTTGTGAAATATGCTTACGAGGCATCATAACATCCAATAAAATTGGACCCTCCGATTTTACCATATACATGTGGCCCGTTGTCGCAGGTTATCTCTTTTGGTATCTCGAAGTTGTAAATTATATTATCCCATAAGAAATCTACCACTTTGCGTTCGTCGATTTTTTGGTAAAGACCTGTTTCAACCCACTTAGAAAATAGACAGTTAAAATCAAAAGAAATCTTACCTTACCGGGTGTTGGCGGCAGCGGATCGACTTCATCCATTTCCCACTTCATGAATGGACAGGGCGACAAAATCGAGTGAAGTAGCTCTGCCGGTTGATGTACCAGCGGTGCATGCTATTGACACTTATCCCATTTTTGAACATAAGCCTTAGCATCTTGTTCCATCTGGGGCCAGTAGTGTCCTGCTCTAATTAGATTTAACACTAAGGAATCCGCGGCTAAGTGATTTTCGCAGATCCATTCGTGGACTTCTCTCATGACGTAGTTAGCTTTGGAAGCTCCCAAACATCAGGCCAACGGGCCTTGGAAAGATCTTCTATACAATTGACCTCCCTTGAAGCTGTATCAAGCTGCTTTAGTGCACAGCGCCTAAGATGACTTGGGATCTTCAAGAAGTTTTCTGTGTTAGAGATAGTCAATGATCTCATTTCCCTAGTCTCAGACCAAATTGGTCGCATTTACTTTGTAATAGCACTCTGCATCTAATACAGAATGCATAAGCTACACGACCGTACCGGAGTCTGATCCCTTCATTTCCGCGTTCGATCCCAGATTGGCTAGTGCATCTGCCTCCATGTTTTCTTCTCTAGGGATGTGGGTAATTGACCATGCCATGAACCATATGAGCAGAGTCTGGACTTTCACTACATATTGTTGCATATGTTCCTCTTTGGCTTCGAAGATCCCGTAGACCTGATATACTACCAATTGGGAGTCGCATTTGATTTCTATGACCTCGGAGTCCAGTCCCCGGGCCAGCTCGAGTCCTGCAATCAAAGCTTCATACTCTGCTTCATTGTTAGTCAGAGAAACAATTCTTATGGCTTGCCTTAGGATTTCCCCCAAGGACGTGATTAGTACTACGCCGAGACCGGACCCTTTCATATTGGAAGCTCTGTCCATGAATATAGTTCAAACTCCTGATGTCAATTCTGACAGCATCATGCTTCTTTGGTAGCAAAGGTAATAGTCCTGGACTGAAATCGTCCACAAATTCGGCAAAAAATTGTGACTTAATCACAGTCTTATGTTTATACTCTAAGTCAAATTCACTCATTTCGACTGCCCACTTGGCCAGCCTACCTGAAAGTTCAGGTTTATGAAGGATATTTTGCAGGGGGAAAGTGGTCACCACGGCTATCGGATGACATTGGAGATAAGGCCTAAACTTTTGAGCTTCGACTACGAGAGCTAAGGCCAATTTTTCCAGATGTGGGTAGCGAGTTTTTGCTCCCGCTAAAATTTTACTAACATAATAGATAGGAGATTGCGTACCTTCGTCCTTACGGACTAAAACGACACTTACCACTACCTCTGAGACTGCTAAGTAGATCAGCAGTTGTTTGCCTTCCTCTGGTTTTGACAGTAATGTAGGACTCGATAAATACCTTTTTAGATCCTTCAGAGCCTGCAGGCGTTCCGAAGTCCATTCAAAATTGTTCTTCTTTTTGAGGAGTGAAAAGAACTGATGACATTTTTCTGAAGATCGAGAACTGAACCTGCTTAAAGAGGCCAGTCTTCCTTTTAACCTTTGAACCTCTTTTACGTTTGATAGCTGGTCAGAGATGTCTTCGATGGCTTTAAATTTATCAATATTAGCTTCGAACCCCCTTTGTAACACCAGGAATCCCAAGAACTTACCGGAGCTAACTCTGAATGAACACTTCTCGGGGTTAAGTTTTATGTTATGCTTCCTTAGGATGTCAAAGGTTTCTTGCAGGTGTTTAAGATGATCACCTGCGTTCAAATACTTAACCAGCATATCATCTATGTAAAATTCCATGGTTTTACCTATTTGTTTTTCAAACATTTTATTTACAAGCCGCTGATAAGTGGCGCCGGTGTTATTTAGCCCGAAAGGCATCACATTATAACAATATGTGTCGAAGTTCGTTATGAAGAAAGTTTTTTTCCTGATCCTTTGGGTTCATCTTGATTTGGTTGTAACCATAGTAAGCATCGTGCAAACTCATTAACTCATGCCCGGCCGTCGCATCAATCATTTGATCAATGTTCGGCACTAGGAACGAGTCTTTTGGGCATGCCTTGTTTGGAACTACTACTACATTAGCTAGTCAGTTAGGATACTTTACCTATGGTATTGAATCGATATCAAGAAAATGAGTAACCTCTTCTTTGACGAATTTGTTTCTGACCTCAGTAATAGGACGTTTTTGTGCCTTACCGGAGGGATATTAAGATCCAGGCTTAGTTTGTGCATTGCCACTTCTGGCGGGATACCTGTCATATCCACGTGCAAACACGCGAAACAATCAACGATAAATCTAAGAAAATTGATAAATCCAAACCTGAGCTCAGGGTTTAGTCTTGTCTCCAAGTGGAACTTCCTCTCCAAGAACTTTTCGAACAACACAACTTGATCAAGTTCTTCTGCTATGGACTTTGTTGCATTCGTTTCTTCTGGTACTTGGAAATATCTTGGTACCTGATAGGATTCTGGTGACTCCTCCCACTAGTTGAGTTCGCTCGACTCCGGAGCAGGCGTCGGTTCCTGTAATTACTATGTTGCATGCTCCTTCCCTTTGCTAATGTAAACTGAGATTGTGTTCATCTCCCTTGCTACTGGTTGGTTGCCCCTAATTTGTTTAATTCCCTCGGGAGTTGGAAATTTCAATAATTGATGATATGCTGAGGGCACATCCTTCATCTCGTGCAACCATGGTCTCCCCAGAATAATATTATAGCTCATATCGCCATCTACTGCTTCAAAGAGGGTCGTCTTCATTCCCCACTTGGCGTTTGTGGGCGGCAGAATCTCTCCTTGGATAGTCACGCTTGCCAAATTGAACCTGACGAGGAGTTTTGTGGCCGGAATGATACTTCCGATCAGCTTGGCTTGCTCCATCACTCTTTACTAGATAATATTGGCCAAACTTCCTGGGTCTACCAAAACACGTTTAATTTTAAAATCTAACACATTAAGAGAGATTACCAAGGCATCATCGTGCAGTAATAGTAGTTCATCTGTGTCTTCCTATATGAAAGTAATATCGTCCTCCGCGACTTCTCGGAGTCTCTTATTGTGGGTAACTGACACCTTCGTCTTTTTTGCTGCCAAAAATGTCACACCATTAATCTCGTTCCCCCCGAAAATCATGTTGATCGTCAGATGAGGAGCATCTTCTCATGCTTTTGAAGGTTCCACGTTATCACGATTGCAGCCGTAGTTTTTTTTAGCCCGGTCGCTTAAGAATTCTCTGAAATGGCCGTTTTTTAACAATGTTGCTACCTCCTCACGCAAATGCCTGTAGTCCCTAGTCCGCTGACCGTTGGTCCTATGGTATTCGCACGATAAATTAGGACCCCTTTGATTGGGATCGGATCTCATTGGTTTCGGGAACCGTGCATCCTTAATGTTTCTCATAGCCGACACTAGTTCCACTATACTGACGTTGAAGTTGTATTCGGATAAACTGGGGTAGGAAGAATCCTGGGAACCTGATACCTCTTTGTCCTACAATGATCTGTTATGCCAACTCTCCTATCGCTAGTGAATCTATCCGCCGACCGAAACCCATACCGCGTCCTTCGACCCTTTCATAGGGCAAAAACTAACCTCTTGAAGACCATCAATCTGTGTCGAAATCATCCTTTGATTTCTCCTTATTCTTCACCCGGTCCCGACCCTTGGTTGATGCTGGGTAACAGAGCTAATCATCCTCAATTCTTATCTTTAACTTGTACCGGTTGTGAACATCTGCCCATGTTATTGCGTGGAGCTCGAGCAAAATTTCTTTTAATTTTTGGGAAGGGTCGAAACTTCTCGAATTCAATCCTTTAGTGAATGTTTTAGCTGCCCATTCGTCCCGTACAGCCGATAGCAACATCCTTTCTTTTTCGAATCTGGTCATGAACTCCCGTAGAAATTCGGACTCTCCTTGTGCAATCCTAAATATGTCAGCCTTTCGGACATGTACCTTTCAGGCCCCTGCATGGGCCTTGATAAAAGAATCCACGAGCATCTCGAAGAAATCTATTGAGTTCTCGGGCAAGAGCGAATACCATGTCAGGGTCCCCTTTGTGAGGGTCTTCCCGAATATTAGTCCATATCAATCAAACTTTATGAAAAATAGAAGGGCTAGGGATAATGCTATTGTTATCGAGGAAGTTATCTCTAGTTTCAAAAAAATAAGTGGTAAAATTGGTAGTATATTACTTAAAATAGACCTAGAAAAAGCTTTTGATAAGATTGAATGTTCATTTATCTATAAAATGCTTCTATTTTTTAAATTTCCTCCAAATATGACAAAACTTATCATGTCATGTGTTACTACTAGTATCATTGCAGTACTAGTTAATGACTCATAAATAAACTTCTTTAACCCTAATAGAGGTATTAGACAAGGAGATCCCATGTCCCCATATATTTTCATATTATGTATGGAGATACTTTCAAGATATATTAATCACCAATTTGATATCAAGCAATGGATTCCCATTAAAATATGCACCAAAGGTCCTGCCCTATCCAATCTATTCTTCGTTGACGACCTTATCCTAATGGGAAAAATAAATAACACAACATGCTCCACGATCTGGAATGGTCTTAATCTATTTTGTCAACTGTCTGGACAAAATATTATGCTAAATCCAAAATTATATTTTCAAAAAATTGCTCAAGAGATTGTATCAATAACACCTCCTCCTACTTTGGCATTAAGAGTAGTAATTCCTTCGGCAATTACTTAGGTTTTCTCATTCTACAGGGTCACCCAGACCAAAATATTCTCAATACATAATCGATATCATGCGCAACAAACTCTCTAGTTGGAAAACAAATTGCATGAACATACTTCAGTAAGATTGACTCAATCTCGTGTGGAGCTAAATTGTTCCCCTTCACCGCCGTTGTATAAGTAGTGATGTGCTCCTGAGGATCCAAAGTCCCATCATACTTCGGCATGTCTGGCATTTTGAACCGCTTCGGGATCTATTCTGGTGTCGTGCTTGGTTTGAAAGGTAACTAGGTGTATTTCTTTAAGTCCGGTCCTTTCAACACTGGTGGTGTGCCCGGAATTAATCCATTTGGGCATTATTTCCCTCATAAACCGCATGAGTTTGGTTTTAAAGGGATCATTCTCATTGTTGTTACCGGATTTGCTACCGTTTCCCACGGCCCTGTCGATGCCAACTTCGCCCCTCGGGGTGTTGTTGTCGACCCTCTACATTGTTTGGTTTGTGGGAGCACCGGGAGGAACTGGACCTCGTCCATTCCTGTTGTTGAAAGCACCCAACAATGCCTGCCACAACTCCATCATGACCTGATCTTGTCGTGAGAGGTGGCCCATAATGGCTTTTTGCCGCTCCCTCAGGATCCTTAGTGTTTCAATGGCGTGCTCGTCCTCAGCATCATCGGGAGTTGCCTATCAAACATGTCGTGGATATTGACCGCCATGGACCGGTGTGGCCTCATCCCTCTCATTGCGGGTATCACTAGTTGAATCTTCGTGCTGAGGTTGACTTCCTTAGGCCTCAATATTGTGTGCGATGTTGACATCGTTATCTGCCATTTTCTATGATTTTTGCTAAGAACAACGAATCAAACAAGTAATAGATACAAGGATCAACTCAATTAAACAACTGTCTAAGCCCCACGGTGGGCGCCAAAATATTTACCCGTAAAACAGTACAGTTGAATTTATACGTGGTTTATAGACAAGTGAATCAATTTGATCCCACAATAAAAAATAAATTAAACAAGAATATAAGACTTAGCGTTGAAATTGAGATAAAACAGCAGAAATTTTGGTTGCGGGAGTAGAGTTTCTGGAGGCAATAGTAACTATATTAATAAGCAAGAAGATAAGATATTATTGAGCTTTGAATAGTATATAGCATAAGCTTATCAGAAAATTCCCTCCTTACAATGGTTGTTGGAATCCCTATTTTGTAGTGGTACCTAGGGAACGATGTACTAGGATCAAGCCTCTCTTAAATGATAATTGTGGGGCCATTGAAGAATGTGTAACGGCAAGCTATGAATGTCATATTCTCTATAATGGATTATGTATTTAATACTGTCGAATATTCCTCATTGAATGATATCGGGTGATAGGCATCCACTTGTCTTCATGAGCAACATTCCCTTTCGGGGGCTTCCCGTGCCAGCCGAGACTGTTGCTCCTGGTCTTATCTTCCACCTGTCTTGCTTTTCCATCTGTTTTTAGTTCCATGTGTCATTTTATTAGATGGGTATTTAATAGGGACCGATTTTATCCTATACAATGTTATATAGTGAATTGATTATCTCCGCATGTAAATATAGGTCAACTGGCCGAATCATATTAAATATTTGTATCTCTTTTAATATATTTCTCGTTGTTATCTGATTTATCTTCGTTAAAAATATTCTTTGTTAGCTTTCGCATAACACTTATTTCGACACTAAAAATATCAACCGTAGTTCAATCAATCTTTTTGCTTACGTACAAGGAGACACCCGTAAGTTGTTCCTTTACGATTTATGTCAATCTATTTGGTATAAATGTGTTTCGACGATATCAAATAAAATTAAAGTAACATCTTGCAATACAAGTTGGTGTACACATGATAAGAATAAAATATTTTCTGAGTTTTTACACCGACCAAACTTAGAAACCATACAATCAATCTTGATATTTTTGCAGAACAAGCGTGGTACAGCTTGACCGCCCTGTTTGATGACTTATCTATTCAAGATCCTAGAAAACGATCTCCAAACAGCCACGTACAGTAATAATTTTTGGCCTTTTTATTGAACATTTTAATTAAGCACGTGGGAAAATCTAATGAAAATTATAAAATGTTTCATCTTAAACGACATTAATTTGCTTTGAATTATTTTTTAACTTTTCTTGCCGACCCCCTAATACCTGTTCATTGGTGAAAGATAAGGGACTTATTATACTTCATGGCGCACATGAAATCTTCACGTTAATATAGTCCGTACGTGTTTTCCGTTCAAAAGATATTTATATCTATATCTATATTATATTAAAAGCACAAAGAACCTTAATGAAATGTCGTTCGCCTTTTTAACTATTTTAAAATATTATTTATATTGGACAAATTAGTCATTTTATTATTTTCCTAATATTTATGACTTTAAAGTCAACTAAAATATTACATATTAAATTATTTTTTTATCTGAACTAATGTAGGAAGTCCTAATATTTAGGATTTAAAATCAATTAGTATTTCAATTAATCTATAGAACTATAAGGAAAAACATAAAATCTAACGTGTGAAATATTTGGTAACATATTTCTTTTAAGGTGTAGATTCCAAACGGCAAAGTATTCTTATATGTGGCAAAAGTCTTGAAATAATTAAACTCAAACTATATTATCAAATTGGTTATAACATTTGAAAATATATTTTATATAGATCTCACACATAAATTATATAAAAATAATAAACGAAATAAATAAAGGAAAGAATTAAAAATATCAATGAAAGCGGAAGTATGGGGTTCTTGGATAATAATAGAGGTGCTTCATTTTTTAATAATGTTTTACGTTTTCATATATACAATTACTCATGTTATGTTACGAAATTTAAAATGGACCAGAATATTTCATTAATGATATTATTCTATATCATATCGTTAGCTTTTAAAATTTTAAAATATTTATCATATTTATTCAAATGTCGAGAAGCAATCCACTATAACTCAAAAATTATTAGTAATTCCAATAAGATAATTTATGAAAATCTTTAATTTTTTAAATAATAATAAATTAAGCTAAATATAAATAGATTTCTTGATTAAAAGAATAATTGTTGTTCCTGAGAAATTATTCAAATTTTAGATTTTTTGGTATATAATGATTGTTAATTCTTTGAGATTTATAAATATTTTTCTTT